CTGCCCTGGGCAGCCCATTCCAACGCCCAACAGCCCCTTCTGCACAGAAATCCTTCCTCAGAGCCAGCCTGACCCTGCCCTGGGCAGCTTGAGGCCATTCCCTCGGGGCCTGGCGCTGGCGCCTTGGCTCCAGAGACTCATCCCCCCTCTCTGCCCCCTCCTGGCAGGGAGTTGCCGAGGGCCAGGAGGTCTCCCCTCAGCCTCCTCTTCTCCAGACTGAACCCCCCCAGTTCCCCCAGCCGCTCCCCAGCAGACCTGTGCTCCAGACCCTGCCCCAGCTCCGTTGCCCTTCTCTGGCCACGCTCGAGTCATTCAATGGCCTTTTTGGGGTGAGGGGCCCAAAACTGAACCCAGGAATTGAGGGGCGGCCTCCCCAGTGCCGAGCCCAGGGCTCAGATCCCTTCCCTGTTCCTGCTGGCCACGCCAGGGCTGGCACAAGCCAGGATGCCATTGGCCGCCTTGGCCCCCTGGGCACACTGCTGTTGCACAGGAGTGCGAAGACCAGGAGCCATGGCTGAGAGTATGTGGGAACCAAGGAATAGTCTTCGATGCTACAGAAAAGGCACGAAATCAAGCAATTTCCTGCCATGCAAAGGACATACAATAGAAAATAAGCGTTCTGTCAGGTGAGCAGAGGGAAGCACTGGCAGGAGACAGAAAGCAGCCTGGGCGGCTGCTGCCTGTGTGCATCTGATCCGAGTGTGAAGGAGACTTCAAGGTTGTTAGCCCAGCACCTTTAGTCAGCACCAAGTTTGCATTAAGACTGAACAGCCCCACAGGCAGCTGAACACAAGGGGTAATACTAACACAACCTCACGATCTGTTTACAATGACTGGGTCTTTTATGGCTGCTTCTGTCCAGGGACAGGGAAAAACCTTGAGGTCTCCAACACAGCATCAAGGACTCAGAAAAAAATGCAGTTTCACAGAGATTCCTCAAGCAGAGCCCATGCAAGGGACTTTATTTTGCAAGGAGAGGTGCAGTTCTTGTCTCTGACAGGCTCTGCTGTGCCAGAGCAGCCCAGCAGCCCAACTGCCCGGATTAACAGCCAAGACAGACAACAAACAAGACCACAACCCTCAGACTTCACAGCTTTCCGTGGACCTGCCCTCAACACCTTGTGGTGCTGAGGAACACACAGAGCAGAAAAAAAGCTTAAGAAAGCAGCTGGCTTTGCTGTTTGTAACTGGAAGTGCAGACATTAACAAGGCTGGTCCAACTTCATCTCACTTCATTTCTAAAAAAATAAAAAAGTGCCACACTGAATGTTTATAGAGAGGAGAACAATTGTGCAGTTTAGTTGGGAAAACCCTTTCCAACTAATGAAAAAGGGTTTCTGACTTATCAACGCAAACACATTCGATATGTTTTCCTGAAGCCTTCTACACCCAGATCCAGAGAGGCCAGAAGGGGACCTGGCCTGCAGATCTCACAGCACCTTGGCTCAGAGAGAACCATGCGCCAGCCAAGCAGCTCTGCAAGACGCTTTATTTTAAGTACAGCAGATGTGGCCCTCAGGCTCTTGGCAAGTTTCCAGTTCGGTACTAATTTGGGCACCACTCAGGCACGGCCCCTTCTTATCAGAAATAACTTCCCTCTATTTAACAACACATGGGTAAACAGTAACGTCAGAGGATCGCGGCCTCCCTCAGCACAGCTACGTCCCTCCCAAATGGGTCAGCACCTCCTGGCAGGCCCCTCTCCCTCTCTCACCTCACAAAGCCTCTTCGAGAAATGATTTCTGCATGACAGTCATTCACTGTCTCCCCCTTCAAGCTCAGCTCTTCTCCTCTGACACAACGATTACCTGAAATGAATGTAAAAAAAAAAAAAAGAAAAAAAAAAAGGCAAGCATCAAAGTCAACACACAGCTTCACAGAAAGAGGGAGGGTTTCATCTGGCTTCAATTTTTACTTCTTGGGGCTCCCGAGCAGCAGCAGCACCCTATTAAATCACTGTTCTGATCCACGCAGTTAGGAGAATAAAGGGACAAAGAGCACACACACTACTTTAGGGTCAGCAGAGACTTAAATTGCCACAAATTTAGGGGCAGGGTCCCTTCCCGAGTGCTTTTCCGCCCAGCATTCTGGGTGGAATTGTGGTTAGGAGGGAGCTGAGGTCCGTGCAGCCGAGAGAAGCTGGGGGATCTTGTGCTGTACAACGTGGGGAATCCATGCTCCGATGCACAGACCAGCACATTGCAACGCAAGCAAAGATTAAGGGCAATATAGCTGCAGGCACATTAGCTTTGTTCTCTCTCTCTAACCAGATCACTTGTGACACCACGTGAGGCCTGGGAACGTTTCTTGTCCTCTCCTACAGCAACAGCCGTTCCCTGGCGGGTGCTGACAGGGAACCTAGTGGGAAAGTAAGAGTTCAGCTTACACTGGAAGCTGTTCGTACCCGTTCCAATGCTGACCACGGCTCCCAGACCCTTATTTCCTTTCCGCATGATGATGGCAGCCAGGATCTTCCTCCCAAGCAGACTGTGCTGGATGCGAGCCGTGAGGGTGTTGAAGCGCTGGTGGCTCAGCATCGCCATCTGATCGTGGAGGGTGCTGCCGCTCACCGGGAGCTGCGACGGGGGCACAAGAGCAGGGTTGCTAAGAGATCACGAGCAGGTCGTGGAACAAAACAGCTCGAGGAGGAGTTAACTCGAGGCACAGCTATCCAACAGGAAGGCAGAAAGCATGAGCTACAGGCAGCACGGGTTTGGGTTGAGCGCATGGATTTATTTTCCAAGGAGAGGTGGAGTCCCTGTCTCTGACAGGCTCTGCTGTGCCAGAGCAGCCCAGCAGCCACAACGGCCCAGATTAACAGCCAAGACAGACAGTAAACAAGAGCACAACCCTCAGACTTTACAGCTTTCCAGGGACCTGCCCTCAACACCTTGCAGTGCTGAGGAACACACAGAGCAAGGCAAAGGCTTTAAGAAAGCAGCTGGCTTTGCTGTTCGTACCTGGGAGGGCAGACATTAACAAGGCTGGGCCAATTTAATCTCATTTCAGTTATTTAAAAAGTGCCACACTGAATGTTTGTAGAGGGAAGAGAACAATTGTGTCAAGGGGTGGGTGAAGTTTTTAGGTATTTCTGGGAAAACCTTATCCAAGGCTTTGAGTTCAGCTTTGAGCACATCGTTAAGAGACAGCAGCAAGCTGTCTGCCTGGCAGCAAGCAAAATGGGCTGAGGAATGGCCACTCCTCCCGAGACTGCCAGGGGAAACCCCCACCGCAAAGGGACAAAACCCATCTTGCCTGTTCCCGGAGACTCAGCCAAGGAAATCTGTCAGTGGCTTTGGAGGAATTCCTTCTCCGGCTGCCTGCGAGGAGACTGCACAGTCACTCAGACAGGGACTTGCCTCCTCTAGCACTGCTGACTGACAAATCCCCCCTGATGGCTTTTCTATTTAGAGCCACAGCTGCTGTGCTCAGCTGTGCAGCCTGGAACACGGCTTTTAAGAGATCACAAAACTCTAAGTGTGATTTAAAGCAGCACAGGTTTGGGACAGCCATCCTGACACAATCAGAGCTTTGCTCTTATCTGATGTATGAGTTTTTGAGCTGACACACGATTTTTAATGCAGCATGAAGGAATCTGGAAGGGGGGGAAGTCACAGAATTAAAAATTAACATGTTCCTGCTCCACCACAGGAACACATTTCAGTAGCTCGTGGGAGAATCTGATGGTAATTAAGCCCTAAAAGCAGAGGCCAGCAGGAGGGAAGTGTACGTCTGTGCCCTGAGGAAACATCTAGCCCACTTCAGGAAAACTTAATCTACACCTTCAGAGCACAAAGATCTCACGGCTGATCTTAAAGGTGTTTTTCTGCTGGACTGAAAGGCACAGGACAGGCAGAGCTACAAAAGCAGTCCCAGCTTTAGAGGAAGAGGATTTACCTCGGTCATGTTCATCCATTCCATGCGCTCATTCTTCGCTGTTTCCCCGATGAGGACTCTGAGCGCCGCGTCAGCCGCCTCCTGCTTGCCCTGTTTTTTATTGTGTGCAGTCACAGCTGGGAACCAACGGCCTCCAACCTTCGCCTGGTAGACAAACCTATGAAGACAGCAGCACACCTCTGAGAAACCAAGAAACCTCGGGATTTCAGTCTGGTTTTTAAATTGTCTCAGCGGAGAGAGGAGGGGGGTGGAGGTAGCTGATTGTCATCCAGATATAAGGTCTGGCAGAGGCAGCGGCTTGGCCTGTTGCCATCTCAAACTGCACCAGGAATTCTGCGTTCTCTGCTCTTTCTCCAGGACACCAGCAACAGTGCAGAAGCTCCTCCTAGACAGATGCAGCTGCTTACCTGGGGTCGTGGGGAGGTCCTGACAGGTCGATGAGTTTGAACTCTGCAGCAAACCCATTGGAGTGGGCGTATTCCAGCAGGCCACCAACAGGATTGACATGCAGGTATTTGATGAGCTCCCCGGCACCCTTTGTTTTCACCACCTTGGATCCATCCGGAGTGACAACCCACGGCCCACAGCTGTACACGGACTGCTCACTGTGGGGCTTCACGGCAGGCTAGAGCAGAGTTAGACAGGAGAAGGCTGTTAAATACCGAGCAGCTGGTACTGCCACAGGCCAAGAGCACTCAGCAAACCTCTGCCAGAGCCAGCACGTGACCTTGTGGGGTGAAATCCAGTGGAATATGAAATAAAGGAGGGGGGAAACCAACCCAAAACACTTGGGTCTTATAAAGAAGCTCTTTGTACCTGTTCAGGCAAGACATGAGGTACAGACTCTCCAGAAAGAATCTTCACAGCAACTTCTGCTGCCATTTGCTTTGCTCCCTTCTTGCTGTTTCCTACCACAGCAGGGAAAATTTGGTCACCCATTTTCACACAGTAGCTGAACCTGACAGGACATTATAGCATATGAAAAGCATTAAGCATAGGTGTCTCGATCTGTTTATTATCCCCTTCTCCCAGTCCAAGTTAAATCCTTCTGGGTTATCTCCAATTTAAATCTACCACAATGGCCCTAAATAATCCCAGTAGAGCACTACCAGGTAGGGTACAGGACTGGAACCTGTTCTTGCTCTGGTAGAAGGAACAGCATCCTTTCTCTGAGAAAGGGCACTGGTTTTGGTCTCTTTCTGGAGGCAGATGTCTTGGAGGAGCCATGCCCAGACTCCTGGGATAAGAGGAGCACTCAGCTAGGGAAGCGATGAGTCCGGGAATGTGGGCAGCGTGCTGAAGAGGACAGATATTAAAGAAAGGGTTTCTATCCTCCCCAAAGCCAACAGCGACAGGCCATACCTAGGATCATGAGGTGGGCCTTCCTGAGAGAGCAGCTGGAATTCGATCGTGTTCCCCGATTTTTGTCCGTACTCCATTAAGATGCTGATGGGGTGCTTCCCAGGAAGCAGGTTGAGATGAGCTGGCGCAGACGACGGCTCTGGCTCTGGCTGCAAAGGCTACAGCAGAAAAACAGAGGAAACATGTTTGAGACCAAACACTGTTCGACCAGCCTCACAAGTAAAGAAAACGAGACTCACCAATTCCGGTTCAGAGTTGTCAGAGGGAAACGACTCTTCGGATTTAATTCCACTGTGTCTTCCATTCTCTGCTTCGCTCATCAGGACCTTCATAGCGTTAGCTGCTGCCTCTTGCTTCGCGAGTTTTTTGCTCCCTGCTTCTGCTGGTGGGAATCGGCGCCCATTAATCACTGCCTGGAACTTAAATCTTTGAAAGAGAAAACCAAGGAGGTAAATCGAGAGGCAGAAGCATGGTCTTTTCAGAGCTGCTTTTGGAATTCAAGTGAAGCTGCTTTTGGAATTCGGCTGGGAGAGCAAACCCAGGCTGCCGTGTGCAGAAGACAAAAATACCAAGAATGCCCCGACAGCTCTGCACCTGGGCATCGTTTCACCACGTTTCCAGAGCTGCTCACGACAGAGGGGCAGCTCCAGGTTTTGTTTGGGAGGAAGAGGATGAATCGCCTTGTTCCACATGCACCAGAAACGCGTTATGTCTGTACACAAAGAGCCGTTGGGTTATGTCTCCTGCACAGGGATGAAGAAAGCTTAACAGCAGGCTGCACTATTCCATCTGTACCTGGTCATCTGGGGTCACTCAGCCCTCTGGCATTTTTGCTGGCTATCCAGTGCGTTCACACCATCTCAGAGAGGTGCTGCCTCACGTAAACCTCTTGCTTTTGATGTCTGTGTCTGTCTCCTCCCTGTGAACTCTAACAAACAAGGCTCCTCTTTTGTCCTCCAGCCCCCCAGAGAGGAAACCGACATCCAACAAGAACGGGTCAAACCAGATCTGGGGAGGGGTTATGGGGCTGAGTCTGTTCAGATTCCTCCTTACAAAAAAAAAAACCAAAACCAAAACAAACCAAACAAAAACTGCCTGGGACTCCATCTTTAGAAAGTAGGCCAATTTTCCCGTCTAGCGGATCTATTGACATATTCCAGTGTGGCACATATGGCGCTTTTCACCGTCTCGCTGGTGCTCAGAACAGCCACGATGTCACGAGGGGAAGCAGGACTCCAGAGGGTGACTCTGCAAACCCCAGTGTCATGCTACATGCTCTGCTTGGACCAGCGACACCCCGGAAACATCCAGAGCGGCCTCACCTCGTCTAACCCAAGATATCTGCACCCAAGCACTTCGTCTGGGGCTCCCTTCACACCACCTGCAGGGTCAGAGCATCTTAAGAGGCAGCAGAAAACACCAGCTTCCCACTATACAATCAAACTGAAAGCCAAGTGATTAAATCCGACAGGACCCAGCTGAAGAGACAAATCCCACCTTTGCTGCTCAAGATGAAGTGCAGGGTTGCCAAAACCAGACTACCTGGGGTTAAATTTTACCCTTGTTTTGTTGGTGGTGGGTTTTTTTTTTAAGCTGCTGCAAGGAATCAAGTAGGCTAATCCTTCTGAAATGAATCAAATATTAATGAGTGGCCCTTCAGGACAAAATTGAGTGGGTGAAGTTAATTGAAATCAGATCATTTTAAGCAAAAAGACAGCTCAGGAAAGGTAGGACATTTTCTTACCGTGGCTCGTGAGAGGGTCCACTCTGCTCCAGCATGGCAAACTCACAGTGCTGGTACGTGTACTGGGAATATTCAGTAAGGCCACTCACTGGGTTCTTCTCCTGACAAGCCATCAGTTTCTCTACGGGCGTACAAGGGAAAGCAGTCTCAAACTGGGCAGCGTAACTGGGGGAAGACTGGGAATTCATGATGGATTCTGACTCATCGGGCTGCTTGTTGATAGTGTTCAGATTATCTGGGATATCATCCATGGCCCACTTGCCATCTTCAGAGTTATCATAATTACTCAAACCGGAGAATTCAGGTTTAGCGTCCTCGGACAGGGTTGCTTCTGTGTCACTGACATCACTCTGATCAGTTTGCCCCGAAGCCTGCTGCCCGTTTTCTATACTCTCTTCTTCTAATGCTGACACTGCTGGTGAAGCTCTGGCCACTTCCTGGGGACACAGAGGAACAGAGGAAGGTAGAAAACTTAGCTCAGGAGCGGGATCCACCACCTGCGTTATCGCAGATGCCTTCAGCCTCATCTGCATCCGCTCGCGTTTCCTGTCCGTCAGGGACCACCGCGGGGGGTTCGTGTTCTGCTTGTGGACATCCCCCAGCTTTTCCAGAGCGCTAAGAAAGGCATTAACGTCCTTGGCCCTCGAAAACCCAATGTTTTTGGCGAGGTTGAGCGCTGTTGTTTCTTCCACGCTGAACAAGTAGTTACAGATTTTGTCCTTTGTCTCAGCCATCATGGGATCGGTGTCTGCTGAGCCAGCTGTGCTCCTCTCTCCTCCTCTGCTCTCACAAGCTGGACCTGGGCGATCACTGCTGCGGTCCGTGGGGCTTCTTTCTCTCGCTGTGCTCGTGCCGGCAATCCTCCACAGTGGCGGTGTCTCTTCTCCTTTGTGCAACTTGCCTTCTCTAAAGAGTTTATACAATATCTGGTTGACCTCTTTCTTTTGAGTTTTAAGCTTACGTGTGAGATCACGAACTGTACAAGTCTTCCCCTCCCCAAGCTGCCTGAAAATATTCAGAATTTCTTGTTCACGGTCCTGTCTGGCAAGAGACAGTCTCTGGAAGTTCAGCCTGATGGTGTTAGAATCTCCCTCTGAGTTCTCTTGATGACGGTACTGAGGAGGGCAGTAACGTGGCAAATTCTCTACCCTCGGGCGCTGGCTGGAGAATCTATGCCATCCTGCTCTGCTGCTGCTGGGTCGCCATCCCTCTGCAGGAGCCGGTCCCACAGCTTGCAATTCCTCGTGTGATCCCTGTCCCTGAAGCAAACAGACTTCAGTGTCCTGCTCTGTCAGGAACTGCTGGTGTAAAAAGTTAGTTTCTCGTGGGGTATGAGGGTGGTTAAAAAAAACTTGATTAGCGCAGTTATGTCTTGAGTGGGTAAAATACGAGCCTCTGCCTTGACCAGCGCCTCTGTTCATAGCGCAGTGCTGGGACAGGTGTGTGAATCCGGCTGCTTGTGCGCCAGGAAGGAGCTGCAATTTGCTCTGCACTCTCCCGTCCTAAACAGGGGCCTGCTAGGTGAAAAAAAACCCAACACAATTCAGAATCTATTCATGCAACTCTAGGATTCCAGAAGTGCAGTTTAAACAGCTCCCCTGTTACCGAGGCATTTCAAGCATCTTCACCTATTCAAGCAATCCTGCTTTCTACTGAGGCTAAAGTATTTATGTAAACACAAATAGCAAACTGTGTCTGTCCTGCACAGAACCCAGCAGTCAGGAATTGCAGGTGAAGTTAACCACGGGGAACAGCTTTAGTAAGAGTGACCCTCTGTTCCCGTTGGACTGAATTTCAAACTAAACTGGGGCGGTTTGTCTGTTCACGATGGCTCCTGTGGAAGCTCACCCTGCTCTTCTGGAACACAAAACAAGTTCCACTTCCCTGCCGTGAGGGAGTCTCTCTCTGCAGTCAGAGAAAAGGGGGGGGGACGGGGGACAGACAGGGAGGTGAAGCAGCTCCCACAGTCACACAGGACAGAGTTGCAACAGGTTTGCAACAATTTTCAGACTCATGGCCAAGAGTTTGAAACTCCAAATGTCCTTTGCTTCCTGGACGTTACGTGACCCGCAGATGTAAAGCATCACCCCACAGGGGAAGTAAAGTGATAACCACAGAGAAACCGGATAGGAGTGCAGCTGGCAACGATATAAAAAGTTTTGGGGGGCTGTAGCCCAAATTGCATTCTTATCACACACAGTTGTGCCACTCCTCTCACCTACAGGACATAAGTCGAAGCTTTTGATATGCTTTTTAAAAATAAATAACCTGGCACAGGATATGTTCCAGTTCTGGTTGTGAAACTGAGTGCATAAAACCATGCAACGGATACCTGCTGCTAGGTCCCTATCCTGCCTTCTTTGCAGTGACCTCTTTAAGCCACCGATCTTCACAAACACAGACTTTCTGACACAGGTCTTACCTTCACTAAGCTCCCTAACTTCATCAAACACACCTCAAGGCCAACTTACATTTCTCTTTCATTAAATAAGGTCAGTAACAGCCTCCAACTGCACCCAGTTGCCACCACCATCACTTATTTTACCAACCCCGATAAACAGGGGCTTCATGTGCGGTGCTGGGGGGATCCCCCTTCCCAGCTCCGAGGCGGGTGGGGGGCACTGTCCTTCGTAATCCTTTTAAAACCGACCCCTGAGCCAAAGGCAGGACAATAATCCTGGCAGGCAGGAAGAGGGGTTTTAAATAACGCTCTTACCTCTGTTTCATCCATACACCAAATTCCCCTACTTTGAAAGAAAGTAAACGGAAAAAAGAAACCCCGACCCGCAGAACATCTCCCGGCGAGGGGAGGCAGGGACCCGGTCACCCCGGCAAGATGGCTGCGAACTCCGTTTCGGTTTCGTTTCCCGCTCCCGCAGCGCTCTCCCCGCCCCTCCCGGGGCCGCCCCCTTGCCCAGGAAGCTCGCAGCGGGGGAGGGGGACGCGGCTCCTTCCCCTACGGGAGGCAGAATTTGGGGCTTTCCCGATTTGGAGAGGTGTTACGGGAACGGCTGTCACCTTAAATTACACCTAAAAAAAAAAATAAATCCCAACGACCAAGGCAAGCTACGAGCTACCCCGCACCCATGTACCATCGCTTCCCCGAGCAGAACCGCGATGGGCCAGCGCAGGCACCGCGACGGGCTCGGCCGGGCTCGGCCCCCGGGAGCACCGTGCGGGAAGGCGGGCAGGGCCGCGAACACCGCGCCCGGTCCCACGGGATTCAAGAAGAGCGGCACCGACGAAAACACTTTATTCCACGCGTTCCGCTTGCAAAGCGCGCAGGGGAGGGGGGACCCCGCCCTACCGAAACCCCGACCGGGCCCCGGGGCTGCTGGCACACGGTCACGCCGCGGCCTAGCGCGGCCCCGTCCCGCCCGTGGTCACTAGGCCCGGCGGGGGCCGCAGGACACTCAC